CACGATGAGATATCAGCAAATGAGATTCTCAAAGAATTGTCTTCAACAAGGAGGAAACAATTGAGCCTCTCTACCAAAAGTTTTCCCCAGAATTACTTAGATGCAAAGCACTGTCAAGCCTACACAGCACTTGAAAAGTAGCCCTAGCCTGATAGCGGTGGTTGAAGGGTAAGGTCATTGCTAAGGGGCACTGTAATTTCACCGAGAAATTACAGGTGGTGGGAGGAAGCAGATATTAAAGTCATTTTTCCCCCTAAAATAATCAAGCTGTTTGTTCCAGAAAAGGTTAAAATGAGTCATCCATCTCCTGTGTCTTCTCCACCTACCTCCTCCACAGCTTTTATAAGATCCCTGAGCAGAAACAATAGTAGAGAGTCACCACAGAGAAAAATAACTGATGATCACAGATGCATGATCATGAATGTAAAACCATTTGTATTTTAAAATATGAGTTACCAGGATGAGTAAATGATATGCACACACAGTCAAGAGAGGTTGCCATAGAGACTGTCGGCCATATTGTGCCAACTCTATTGTTTAATTTTGCTCAGAAATGCATTCATTGTCATTATATTCTTCCTAGAATATTAACACACACACACACACACACACACACACAGAGAGAGAGAGAGAGAGAGAGAGAGAGAGAGAGAGAGAGACTGACTAAACACAGGTGATTCATTCCCATAAAATTTAGGTTACTCTGTTATTTCATTTGTGTTCTTAGGACTATGAAAACTGAGAATGGCAAGAATTCTGTGTTAAAAGCATCATTCAACATATTCCTTTTACAGCTGCAGACAAAGATCAAGACCAGAAAGAGAAGTCAGGAGCAGGGTTTGACTAGAATCAAAGGTGCTCCTTTTTATCTTAGAGCAAGATGACATGGAAGAGACACCTGAAAAGGGCTAACTTCAGATAAAGGAAGTACCTTGTGAGATTTGAGAATAAAGTCTCTCATACATAATTCACTATTTTGAGTACATTACCAAGCTCTAGGACACGATTTGTGTCTTTATCTCTAACATTGATTTAAAATGTTTTAAAATGCAAATATCAATTTGGGAAGCTATATTTTCAGTGAAATTGATAAGTGACTTCTAAAGGATTGTTGGGTTTGTGTGTGTGTGTGTGTGTGTGTGTGTGCGCGCGCGCGCGCGCGCGTGCATGCGGTTCTGGGGATTGAACCCAGGGGTGCTACATTGGGCTACATTGCTAGTCCTTTTTGTTTTTATATTGAGACAGGGTCTCACTAAATTGCCCAGGCTGGCCTGGAATTTTTGATCCTCCTGCCTTAGCTTCCTGAGTTGCTGGGATTACAGGCATATACCACCATGCCTGACAAGGTGCAGTTTTTAAAATTGTATTTCTGGAGCTGGGGGTGTGGTTCAGTGGTAGAGCCAATGTTTAGTATGTTTGAGGTCCTGAATTAAATCCCCAGCACCAGAAAAATACAAAATAAAACCAAACAAAAGGGCTGGGGATGTGGCTCAAGCGGTAGCGCGCTCGCCTGGCATGTGCGCGGCCCGGGTTCGATCCTCAGCACCACATACAAACAAAGATGTTGTGTCTGCCGAAAACTAAAAAATAAATATTAAAAAATTCTCTCTCTCTCTCTTAAAAAAACAAAACAAAACAAAATAAAATTGTACTTCCAAAATAGAAACAGAATTCCTGATTTCTTGAAAGTATTTACAAAATTCTATGAAAAAAAAAAAAAACAGGTTTTCCCCAAATTCTACTTTGGAGACTGTTGGAGGAAAAGTGGGGAAGGGAAAAGAGGGATGTTAGAAGGATACTAAAGGGCTCTGGGATATAAGTGGTACAGCATTTGCCTAAAATGCATGAGGCCCCGGGTTCAATCCTTGGTACCATAAAAAAATAGTCATAGAAGGATAGTATAGGGCTGAGAACGGTAGCACATGCCTGTAATCTCAGCTACTTGAGAGGTTGAGACAGGAGGATCACCATTGAGGCCATCCTGGGCAATTTAGCAAGACCCTGCCTCAAAATTAAATCCAAAAAGAAATGAGAAGGTTTGGGGATGTAGCTCAGTGTTTGCCTAGCAATGTGTGTCTGCCTAGCAATGCAGATCAGTGTTTGCCTAACAATGTGCAGCCCTGTGTTTAATCTCCAGCAAAACACACACACACACACACACACACACACACACACACACAGCTATGGGAAAAATAAGAAATGTCTTAGCATTGCAATAATAAATTAAAGCTATAAATCCCTCCATTAAAAAGCTCCCTTGAGGGGCTGGGGCTGGGGCTCAGCAGTAGCACACTTGCCTGGAATCTGTGAGGCACTGGGCTCGTTTCTCAGCACTGCATATAAATAAATAAAATAAAGGTCTATCAAGAGCTAAAAAAAAATATTAAAAAAAAAAATGCTCCCTGGAGGACTGGGATTGTGGTTTAGTGGTAAAGTGCTTGTCTAGCACGTGAGAGGCAGGTTCCATCCTCAGCACCACATAAAAATAAATAAATAAAATAAAGGTACTGTGTCCATCTCTAACTAAAAATATTAAAAAGAAAAAAAAAAAAACTCCTGGAGACACACACCAGCTGTGGATTCAGGGCATACTCTCCCTGCATGCTCCAACCTGTTTGCTAAGATTAGAGCTTCAGATGTAGTCAACAACAAGTAATTCATGCAAAAAGTAGCCTGAAAGTGTCAGACTCTGTTGGGTGGGTCTTGGTTTATATCAAACAAACCATTTAAAAAAATTGTTGTGCCAATGAGTGATTGAACCCAGGACCTTGTGCATGCTGGGCAACTGCTCTACCACTGAGCTACATTCCCAGCCCTTAGCTTCTTTTCTTTTCTTTTTTTTTTTTTTTTTGGTGGGGGGGTACCAGGAATTGAACTCAGGGGCACTCAAACACTGAACCACATCCCCAGCCCTATTTTGTATTTTATTTAGAGACAGGGACTCACTGAGTTGCTTAATGCCTTGCCGTTGCTGAGGCTGACTTTGAACTTGCAATCCTCCTGTCTCAGCCTCCCAAGATGCTGGGATTACAAGCGTGTGCCACCATGCCTGGTTTCAGCTTATTTTCTTACAAGTAAATTTTTTTCACCTCAACACTGCCTATTACCACAATGGCACCATATGAAGTTTTCATTGTTTCTATGCTTATGAAAATGAGGAGGAAGCCAGGCGTGGTGAACACATGCCTGTAACCTCAGACTGAGGCAGTAGGATTGCAAGTTTAAAGCCAGACTGGGCAATTTAGCAAGGCCCTAACTAAAAAGAATTGGGGATGTAGCTCACTGTTTAAACAGCCCTGGGTTTGATGCCCAATACTGCAGAAGAAAGAAAGGAAGGAAGGAAGGAAGGAAGGGAGGGAGGGAGGGAGGGAGGGACGGACGGCGGGAGAAGGAAGAGAGAGAGAGAGAGAGAAGGTTTGATGCCCAATACTGCAGAAGAAAGGAAGGAAGGAAGGAAGGAGGAAGGGAAGGAAGAAGGGAGGAAGGGGCGGAGAGAGAGAGAAAGGAAAGAGGAAGGGAAGGAAGAAATAACAGCCCTCTTGCCGCAGTCTGGCTGGGCACAATCAGGAGCCACTTGTCAAAAGAAACTAACTATTTTTAGAACCACACACGCCAAACAAAACAGCCTCTCAGGAAAAACTCTCAGAGCCCCAACTGCCACCACCGGCTTTCCACAAGCCTCTCTCTCCAACACCAGCCTCTCTCTCCACCTCCCACAATCCTCCTGCTCTTGAGGCCGATTGGCTGGGTCACGTGGGCGGAGCCAAAAAAGTCCCCCAATGAGCAGCTCCGTGGTCTGAAAGGGCAGTGAAACAGCCCAATGAGCATCACCGCAGAGGAGCCAATCAGCTAGATGTTGCTGGGGCCACTGTGAGCCAATCATCAGCCGGCAGCTGGAAGTTTGCTGGGGCCCCTTCGGCTGTGGCTCTCAACATCTCCCCCTCTCTGTTTAAACAAAAAGCATGTGGCTTAGGGACCGTGCCTGCCTTAGGTTGTCCAATAGTACATGCCGCAGTCTGGCTGGGCACAATCAGGAGCCACTTGTCAAAAGAAACTAACTTTATTTTTAGAACCACACACGCCAAACAAAACAGCCTCTCAGGAAAAACCCTCAGAGCCTCAACTGCCACCACCGGCTTTCCACAAGCCTCTCTCTCCCACACAAGCTTCTCTCCACCTCCCACAATCCTCCTGCTCTTGAGGCCGATTGGCTGGGTCACATGGGTGGAGCCAAAAATGTCCCCCAATGAGCAGCTCCGTGGTCTGAAAGGGCAGGGAAACAGCCCAATGAGCATCACCGCAGAGGAGCCAATCAGCTAGATGTTGCTGGGGCCGCTGTGAGCCAATCATCAGCCGGCAGCTGGAAGTTTGCTGGCAGCTGGAAGTTTGCTGGGGCCCCTTCGGCTGTGGCTCTCAACAAGTACCTTAGGTTGGTACCATTGCAATTGGATCTTACCCGTCACTGACTACCGGTCCAGTATACAGCCACACCTGTG